CATGTTTCTGACTCTGGAGTCTAGACTTAACTACTCTGCTGTACTGTCCAACTATAGACAGAGCATAGATGATCTACAGTGGTAGAGTTGGGATTTGGATATGTGAACTTGCTAGGGGGTGCTATGGGAGGAGTCCCAATTATGGCAGACAGGGCTATTTAGCTACAATATATCTATGTTGCCTTTTTTTCCCCACTAAGAGAACCTTGACTTGCCCTAGCTGGTTGGGCTTAGTGGATTGGCCTACAGACTGAAGAGTCCTCTGGGGTTCAATACTGGTCAAGGGCACGTACCTTGGTTGCATGAGGGAGGCAACCAATCAGTGTGTCTCTCTCACATCAGTGTTTCTCTCTGTTGCTCCCTCTACCTTCCACTCCAGGTAAAAATCAATGGGAAAAATATCCTTGGGTGAGGAAAATAAATAAATAAATAAATAAATAAACAAATAAATAAATAAATAAGAGAGAGACAGCCCTGTCTTGATGTTAGGTGTTAAAGTCTCTCAGTTAAAATTCTCACAATTCATTTGCATATAGACATATCCAGGTGACATGGTGCTGGCTAATATGATGCTAGCAGAGGATGTTTGCAGGAAAGCTTGTTAAAGGAGACACTACAGCTGAAACCGATTTGGCTCAGTGGTAGAGTGTCAGTCTGCGGACTGAAAGGTCCCTGGTTCGATTCCGGTCAAGGGTATGTACGTTGATTGCAGACATATTCCCGGTAGGGGGTGTGCAAGAGACAGCTGGTGGATGTTTCTCTCTCATCGACGTTTCTAGCTCTCTCTCTCCCTTCCTCTCTTTAAAAAATAAATAAAATATATTTAAAAAAATAAACTAAATAAAAATAAAGGAGACACTGCAGCTGAATAAGTGCCACTTTGGCCTTTTGCCCTTTACCATTCATCCCTTTTTCTTGCCTAGAGCATAGATATAATGCTGGGAGATGCCATATTTAGACCACAAGAAGAACCACTTACTAAAGATGAAGCACAAGCTTTTAAGGTGTTTGGAACACCCTGACACTGCTGTGTAGCCCTGGTGGCTACCTCTGATTTCTTATGTGAGAAAAATAAACCTCTTAGGGGTTAAGCCCACAGTCATGTCCATGCTGACAAAGGCAGTTTAACAGTGGGGCCTTGGGAAAGAATAGAGCTGCTTGAAAGGTCTTAGCCTATCCTGGCTTTGAAAATGTAAAGAATTGCTGCTCTACTCCAAGTTCCCCTGGGACCACCAGGGCAAGGACATGTATCAGCCTACCCCTGGCCATCAGAAAGCCCTCAAAGACACAGAGAAATGCAGAATGGAGCCAGGAAATTCACCGGGGCTTAAAATCTCCCTTAAGCAAAAACACAGGGCAGGGTTGAGTATCTGTAATTTGATTCCTTGCTGGGGGCTATAGATCCCATTCCACTTATAGCAGCAGCAAGTGCAAGTGCAGCAGGGGGAGAAGGGGGCTCTGGCAGCTGTGTTTTGAACCTGCCTGGGCAGCTCCCTAAACATTTGTTTCAAAAACAAGCAAGCGAAGGGGATATATTTTTGAGGGGGCGAGAGGAGGGGTTTGGAAGAGGAGATTAGGAGAAGGGGGAAGAATGCTATGCACTCTGGAAATGGACTATTGATGTTGCAACTCTCTGCAGGTGGTATCGCCAAAGCCAATCTTGGACTTGTCAGATGGGCCAAATCTCTCCTAATGAGACTGCGGAGCCTGATCACTCCTTAGGCCTGGGGTCGGCCAAAGGTCAGCTAGACTGGAGTTAGAGGCTGTTTCAAAGTCAAAAGGGGACTGAAGGAGATACAAGAGTGGCAGCCACTGACACTAACGGGGAGGATGGAGCATTTTGAGAAGGACTTAACTGGGTGGAACTCCTCAGAGAGACCAGAGAGAATGGGGATGTGGTCAGGTGGCCCGGCAGTGTAGGTAGCTGGGGTCTTGGACCATCGGTTCCTAAAGTCTGGCAGTGAAAGGAAGGGACAAATAAGGTGGTAACTTAACAATACTGTGGCGTTGAGGAAGGGTGGAAGGTGGGTCTGTCTGGGACCATGGTCGGCAAATTGTGGCTTGTGAGCCACATGCGGTTCTTTGGCCCCTTGAGTGTGGCTCTTCCACAAAATACCACGGCCTGGGCGAGTCTATTTTGAAGAAGTGGCGTTAGAAGAAGTTTAAGTTTTAAAAACGTGGCTCTCAAAAGAAATTTCAATTGTTGTACTGTTGATATTTGGCTCTGTTGACCAATGAGTTTGCCGACCACTGATCTAGGCAAACAAAGTAGAAAATAGCTGTAGGGCTGAAGGGGCAAAGTGGGTAGGGATTTTAGATTGTTGCAGGTTACAGTCATGTCCTTCTGCCAGCCCATTTCCCAGGGTGCCTGCTGTCCCTGTTTTGCTGTTAGGACCTTTCAGAGAATTTGAACTTGAACTAGACAATCTTAAAAATGAAAACATATGTGATGTCCAAAGGCATAAAATTAGAAGAGTAGAAACTGAGTGACAAGGGATCATTTAAATGATACTACATAGAGCCAGCTCTTGAAAGAAACTTGCGAGTATTTTCCAATAATTAAGTAGAGGTCAGAAATCTAGAACTTGGAAATGAGAAAGAAATGTGGGTTACCTATTCCAAACCTTGTACTTTATAAATGAGAAAGCTGAAGTTCAGAGAAGGGAAGTGAATTGCCCAAGTCACACAGCCGGGATCATAAAAGCAAATGCAGAGCAGCGCATAGACCAGGAACTTCACATTCACGTGCATAATTCATTTCATTTTACATCAACCCTACAAGGTAGATAATCTAAAAGGCGAAGCCACTGACTTGGGGCCACACAGAAATAGGAAAAGAGCAGAGCTTGGATCTGCACCCACGTAATCTGGCTCCAGAGAGTCTGTGCTTTTAACCACAACTCTTCATTCCCTTGGTCCATTCAGCAACTTTTTCTCAAATCTCCCAAGCTATCTCACCTGCCTGCCACCACCCTTCAATGTCAACAGAATGTCCTCACCTCACTCCTGCTCTGATAGAGGCAGGCAAGGGGATGGTTCCTTGGTGTGGAAAAAAAAAAAAAAGAAAGAAAAAAAAATAGCGGGAAGATAAGAGATCAACCAAGGACTTGTATACATGCATATAAGTACAACCAATGGACACAAAACTCTGGGGAGGAAGGGTATGTATGGGAGGGGGGCAATGTTAAAATATGTACACAGATAATTTAATTTTTTTTTAAAAAAGCAAAAATAAATAAAAATAAAAAATAAAACAGTTGAACAAAAAAAAACAAAAAAAAAAAAATGGCAGAAGAATAAAGGGATGAGATGCCCGTCCTGGAGGATAGGAAGGGGTGGAGGTGGTAGCGAAAGAATGCCAGGGTTTACAGCCTTTGCTGTATTCCAGGAAGGTCTGGCCTTGTCTTCCTGTCTAGTAGTTTAGAGCAAGAAGTTATAATGAAGGTGGGATTCATGGAGACCTGGTGAGGTGAGGGTGATAAGCCTCAGGAAATGGTATGGAAAAAATTTTGTGCCGAAACCAATTTGGCTCAGTGGATAGAGCGTCAGCCTGCGGACTGAAAGGTACTGGGTTTGATTCCGGTCAAGGGCATGTACCTTGGTTGTTGGCACTTCCCCAATGGGGGGGGGGGTGCAGGAGGCAGCTAATCGATGTTTCTCTCACATCGATGATTCTAACTATCTCTATCCCTTCCTTTCTGTAAAAAAAATCAATAAAATATATATTTTTAAAAAATTGTTCATAAGCATTGTTTCACATCCCACTTCCTCTGATATAAAAGCTGATCTAGAATGAACCAGACTCTTGGTGTTGCCCTCTCCCACACCTCCTGGGATCTCAGGAAAGATAGCCAGGATGGAGGCAAGAGCTAGGGGGCTGCAGTTAGGAGACTAGGGTTCAAATGCTGGCTCTGCCTCTTAACTTGCTATGTGCACTTAAGCAAAAATAATAATTGCCTTCCTCTTCTTCTTATCACCAGGAAGTAGGAGACATAGATGGCATATTATAAACATGATGGAATGCAAAAACACAAAACACAACATCCAAACAAAAACTGAAAGCACGCAACACAGTATGGGTTGTTTACTCTTATGGTCACGTAGCTCACGGGAGCGGCAGCTGGTTGCTGCTACCCAGCATTATAACACAGGATGGCACTGACTATCACTAGCCCAGGAAAAGATAAAAATTCAAAGTGCAGGTACTAATGAACACGCATCGCTTTGCAACATCATAAAGTTGAAAAATCAAAAAATTGCAAGTCAGTGACATACAGGTACATTACCTCTTATAAGGTGACCAGGCGTCCCGATTTTTAACTATTTGTCCCGCAGCGTTTTAAAACAGTCCCGATTTTTGGTCGGGACTTTTTTAAAACACCGAGGGATGCGGGACAAATTGTTAAAAATCGGGACTGTCCCGCCAAAAGCGGCACGTCTGGTCACCTTACTTGAAGCTTTAGTATGGGCATCAGATAAGGGACAGTAACCTACCTCTCATGTAGGAGTCCTGAGAGTCAAATGAAAACTAGCTGTGATTGAGTGCACGCAGGTGGAGCTTGGTGTGCACCTGGCAGGCCCTCCGACTGCTGATCACATCTGAATTTGGGAAGACAAGCAGCCCTCCTTTCAGGGAATACCTGAGCAATGGCAGCAGCAGATTGAAAAAGAGTCCTGGGCTATTTGAGTTTCCATAGCAAAAACACCATTGTTTTCACTTTGAAGTTTGTTTTCCCTTAAAATTCTATTTTGTCATCACATAAACCTCCTTGTTGAGAAATTAATTTTAAATATTTTCACTATAAAATGCATTCTCATTATTAAACATGTATGTTATGAAAATCAACCATAATTCCATCGTTTGATTTTTAACATTTAATATATTTCACTGCTTCCAGTGCATGTTTTTCTTTGTTTAGACTCTCAGCAGATGTTGATAGGAACTAATTAGGTTTTGTTTGCTCACAGGAAAAATTGTAAATATGTCATATAAATAGATGTAAATATATAGAAAGAGACTTTTATTTTAGAGAATTGACTCACGTGATTGTGGAAGCTGGGTGAGCCCAGATGGGGTAGGCCAGCGGCTGGAGATTCAGGAAGAACTGCAATTTGAGCCTTGCTCAAGGGAAGACCATCTGTTTCTTTAAGGTCTTCAACAGACTGGACGAAGCCAAGCTCCATTATTAAGGGTAAATTGCTTTACTCCAAATCCACCAATGTCAATGTTAATCTCATCCAAAAACATCTTCACTGGAGCATCCAGAATAATGTTTGATCAAGTATCTGGGCACCATGGCCCAGCCTCGTGGATACATAAAATGAACAATTTGCAAAAAACCTTCTAGAAATGTAAACTATGAGGATCAAAGGAACTCTGCATTATATAAGTTGTTTCTTACACATTAGCAGCATTTGTGGAAACTATTTCAGGCGTTCATGCTTGAGCAAGTTCAGCTTAACTCCAGGAGTTTGCTGTAGCAGTGTGTGTGGAGTGGGTTTACTCTCTGGAGTTAGCAAGCACAGTGCTTTTCTTTAGATTATATGATGGGGTTGGGGGCAAGGAGAGTTGATGGAGATGGTGGTGGTGGGTTCAATCACATGACTTCCTTTGGTGGGGTCACTTGGCTTGAAGGAAACAGGAGGGACAATGACATCCTGACCGTGCCTCCTAAGGAGATAATGAAATGTTCTTATGTGCTTCTCTAGGCCACGGCCTCTGGAAAGCATGCCAGCCCAATCCTGATGCTCTGACAAAGTTCCATCACCCCAGGATGAGGCTTGAGGTAGCCAAGGCAATGAAAGAAATTAAAACTCCGGCATCTGCGGAGAAGGACTTCTGGCCAAAGGGAGGATGGGAGTTGGAGCCATGAGCTCTGCTATTTCTATCTCCTCTGGAATTACAGCCAGGCTGGCAGGCGTCTCTATCAAGAAAAATTTGCAGAGCATAAGAGCCAGTAGGTCACATGGATCTGATGAAGGCACAGCCCCACCCCTGCCCCACCTCCCAACACATGTCATCAGCAACCTTAGTCACCCCCCCTCCCCTAAGATAGAGGTGGCCTTAGCAGGAAAGGTCAGTTGATTTAAATAGCTGTGGCATGCACAGCAACTTTCCTGGCCTAAGAAAGAAAACCCAAGCCATGAAGGATGACGTGCAGATATTGCTACCTATGGTCGGGTGACAGAAAGGGACACTAAAAAGCATTTGTTAAACATCTTCTGTGCTCCCTACTCATGTGCTTCAGCACGTCCACATAGTGGCCTTACTTAGTCCTGAGGGCTGTACATCTTTATAATCGTGTTATAGGTGATGAAAAATCTCAGCAAGATTAAGTGATTTTTCCAAAGGTAATGGGATTAGACATTTCTACTTCACTGATGTAGTGCCAAGGTGCTAAAAAGTGTAGATGTTTGTTTTTTAGAAATATCATAAATGCATGATTAAAAAACAACAACACTAAACTGTAGAGAAAACATCACAATGTCTTCTAGTCTTGTCTTGAGCAAGTCATGACGAGTACTTATAAACCTTTCCAAGAATAGTCTATGAATACAACCAGATAAGAATGTGTGTCTCTGAGTATGTGTTCTTACACACACACACACACACACATACTCAGAGAGACAGTAAAATACAATATGCTCTTCTGCACCTTGCTTTTTTAACTTAATTCCAATTTCTCTATCAGTATACATAGATCTCCTTCATTGTTCTTAGATGCTGCATAAGTCATATGAAAAAGCCATACTTATCTAATCCATTGGTTCCAATTGTTTGCTAATATAAACAATGCGGCAATGATCTTTCCTGTACGTGTTTTTATGCACATATGCAAGCATATCCATTCCTAGAAGAAGACTTGCTGGGTCAAAGGGATATGTGCTTGGCAAATAATGATTTGCAAATTGCCCTCCCAAAAGGATTCCCAATTTTCACTTCCTCTAACATTATCTGAGAGACTGCCAGTGATTTCAACATGCCAGGAAGGTTTGGAACATCTTTCTAAGCTATAACTGACTGAGTCAGTGTCCAAGCCCAGGCCTTCTTTTTTAAAGTTTTTAAGTCTAGTGTTTATTTTCCCTTTTATGGGGGGGAGCCAAAAGTTACCTTCCATATAGACATGGTCTAAAGGAGGTGGGAGAAAGTCAAAATTTTAAATGAAATTTGAAAGGATCATGTCACCATCTTTATAGGTTAACTCCTAAGAGTAAATAAAGCAGTACAAACATATGAACAAATCACTAAACAACCTGAGTGCCAAAGGCCAGCGCCATTTCTGAGTCTCGTTAAGTCCAATGCCTGCATGGAGCTACTTTAAAATGTTACCGTGTCTCCACTAAATCTCCTAAATGCCCTTCCTGGGTCTCACTGGGCTGGGCTGGCTGGCAATATTTCCCTGTGTAGATTCATGAAGCTTTGCCTGCCTTCCCTAAAGTCTGTTTTCCAAGAGTGAGGGACTTTGTGTCCACTCAAATGATTTGCATGATGAAAGTGCTTAGAGCACTTCTTTGATTCATGTCATAATAATGGGAGGGGAGCCCTAGCTGGTTTGGCTCAGTAGATAGAGCGTGGGCCTGCGGACTGAAGGGTCCCAGGTCCGATTCCAGTCAAGGTCACATGCCTGGGTGGCAGCTGATCAATGATTCTCTCTCATTACTGATGTTTCTCTCTCTCCCTCTCCCTTCCCCTCTCTGAAATCAATAAAAAAAAAAAAGTACATATATTTCAAGTTTTAGAAGAGATGGATCACAATTTGATTTAGGATTTTAAAAGACTACTTTCCTTGCTGCTGGGAATACATTATTTAGAGCCTAGAGTGGAAGGAGAAAGACCCTTTGCAAGGCTAAAGCAGAAGTGAGAGATGATAGTAACTTGAAGTAGGAATGTGATGGTGGCACCAGGAACACAAAACTCTTCGGTTGGTTTGGAATATTAGAGGACCATCTCTTCCATGGTTGTAATGTTTGAGGACAAAGTGTGTGTGTGAAAGGTAGTTCTAGCTCAGTCTAATGGCTCCCCACCAATGAAAAGCAAATAGCATACAAATAAGTCCTCTGATTTTTGGAAAGCAAAACTTAGAATGTCCAAGGAATACTTTAAGCAGATGGGAGGCTTGCTCTTCAGGGCCAGATCTAGAAAGCATTTTTCTGAGAGACAACATACTTGGCTTCCATATTCCTTTCGTTATTTGCACCTCTATCCCCCGTCATTTATCTTGAAGATGCCCAGGGTTGCATTCTAGCTCCTACGACTCAGAAGTGGGAAGCCCGGGAAGCTGAGAGCCATAACTCAAGCTGTTTGTTTTCCTGCTTAATTCATCTGGTTATTTCAGAATGCGATCCACCCATGCCCTTCCATATAAGTCTTTTCAGGTCAGAAAGGGAATGACATACTCCTTTCGAGATCTTCCTCTGTTTTCTCCCGGGCCCACCCCCGAAGAGAGTCAGTTCTAGTTAAAAAAATACCAACGGGAAGATTCCACTTTGCAAAGAGAGAAAACCAAGGTGCTAAGAAGCTGCACCGAGTGAGATAGAAAGAAATCACTTCCCTGAACAAGGAAGAAAAAAGAGGCTTTTCTGGGGTTTAAAAAAAAAGAAAAAAAATATGCCGAAACCGGTTTGGCTCAGTGGATAGAGCGTCGGCTTGGGGACTGAAGGGTCCCGGGTTCGATTCCGGTCAAGGGCATGTACCTTGGTTGCGGGCACATCCCCAGTAGGGGGTGTGCAAGAGGCAGCTGATCGATGACTCTCTCTCATCGATGTTTCTAACTCTCTATCTCTTTCCCGTCCTCTCTGTACAAAATCAATAAAATATATTTTAAAAAAGAAAAAAAAAAAAAAAGAAAGAAAGAAAGCTTGTCTGAGGTAAAAAAAAAAAAAAAAAAAAAAAAAAGAGAGAGAAAAAGAAAAGAAAACCAAAACCAAAACAAAACAGCCCTAGCCAGTTTGGCTCAGTGGATAGAGTGTCAGCCTGTGGACTGAAGAGTCCGAGTCCCGGGTTCGACTCCGGCCAAGGGCACATGCCCGGGTTGCCCACTCGATGCCCAGTGGGGGGAGTGCAGCACGCAGCCGATCGATGAGTCTCGTCATTGATTTTTCTCTCTCTTCCTCTCCCTTCCTCTCTGAAATCAATAGAAATATATATATTTTTTTAAAAAAAACCGACAACAAAAAAAGTTTCCCTGAGCGAGGAACAAAGAACGGCTTTTCTGAGGTAGAAACAGCCTCCCTGAGGTAAAGACGGCTTCCCTTCCCTGAAGTAAAAATCTGAGACGGAGGCAAAAGCGCAGGCAGCAAGAACCTGGGTTCTAGAACAAAGCTGAGGCCACGCCACAAAAAAACAAATAAACAAAAAAAAGTTAAAACAAAAGAATGGGCTCTGTTACTCCAGTAACGAGTACAGAAAAGGGAGACCCTACCGGGGGAAGCTTACCCTAAACACCAAAAGCGAACTCTACTGAAACAGGATGCCCCCTCTCATAGAGGAAGTTCCCTCCCACCCAAGTTTCCTATTGGTCCAATGTTATGCAAATATAGTTTCAAAGTTCGTCCGGTTCTGATTGGTCAGAATTATGCCAATCTGGTTGGTTGTTGTGGAGTAGTTCTGATTGGTTGCTTTCTATGCAAATGAAATATAGCTGTGCAGTTCTGATTGGATGGGGCAGGTCTCCGTCCATTGGTCAAAAGACAAAACTAGGGCTTCCCTGCAGTGGTTGACTCAGACTAGCAGGAAGCCGGAGGGTTTCAGTCTGAAACTCTGCCCTGTATGCAGAGTCCATGAGGAGTCCTTGTCAGCAAATGGGCTTTCGGTTGACCATGAAGAGTTCATCTCAGCAGATAAATTTCTACCTGTGGTTCACATCAAATGATTCTTTCTTTTCTGGATCCATATTTTTTATACCAGGAGGCACTCAGCAACAGTCAGTGTCCAACCGAGAGCTGATTTCCAGCTGCCAGCGTCAAAAAGTGAAAGTCCTCTGTTGCTAGAGCACGTTGCTAGGGAACAAAGAACCCAGGGTTGCTTTGATAGAAGTGTGAAGTGAGTTGTGTCAGGATGTCATTTATCCCACATCGCTGTTATGTAAGAATGAGGTAAGTCATGTCATGATGTCACCATTCGACATCTGCTGTCATTGATAAGCAGTCAGCAGCCAATCGGTGGCTCCACTGGGGTCTTATCTATAAGAACACACGGAGAAGCAGCTGTGGCAAGGGGACATTTAAGACTATAACTACTGGTTTGTGAGGGATATTTGAGACTTTACGTTTGGGCCAGGTGACCCTTCCCTAAACCTAAAAACTCCAAATAACTTTAGGACATTCTTTCGAGTCCTGGTGAGACATTTCTTCCCGATGGTGGTGCTATGCCTCATATGAAACCCCTAGAAAGCTATCAGCCTACCTACCAGCACCGGCGTCTCTGTTCCCTAGCAACGTGCCTTAGCAACAGAGTACTTTTACTTTTGTGCTGGCAGCTGGAAATCAGCTCTTGGTTGAGCAGTGGCTCTCCTGAGCGCCTCCAAATATATAAAGGTATACGTCATATTAAATTTGGACTCTATTTCTTCTCCTCCCCTTGCCTTGAACTATATAGTGTGATTAATCTGTCATTTGTTTGGAATATGTTATTTCTTTATTTTGCTTATTAAGAAATAGTATCCTGTATGCTAGTGGCTTGTGAAAGTCCTACAGCGAACCTGGATAAAATCACTGGCAAATACAAACACAGTTATTGAGCATACCTTTTACTGCCTCCCCCAAACAAAATAAAAGCAAAACACCTGTCTTTGACTTCTGCTCCTGATGTCTATCCAACTTCTTGGAAGTGAGCTATCATCTTCTGAAATTCAAAAGAAAAAAGGCTTCCCACTGGGGCTTCCTCACTCACCAGCTCCTGTAGTCAGCACGGAGGCTGGGTGAGTGGAGACAATGTCTTGCTTGTTTGTTTTCCACAAGGAACACTGAGTACTGCGCCACACCAGGCTGCTGCAGTCTCCAGCAGGGACTCCACTGGGCCCGGGGTGATGCCTGCAGGCAGCTGGCACTCAGCGAGCTCCTCCACAGACTGTGTGAACTAAAGGCTGCTCCCTCGCCAGTTAAAAGGAGGGCTAAAGAACTTTCCAGGTTGCATATCCGCCGAAACCGGTTTGGCTCAGCCGAAACCGGTTTGGCTCAGTGGATAGAGCGTCGGCTTGGGGACTGAAAGGTCCCGGGTTCGATTCCGGTCAAGGGCATGTACCTTGGTTGCGGGCATATCCCCAGTAGGGGGTGTGCAAGAGGCAACCGATCGATGACTCTCTCTCATCGATGTTTCTAATTCTCTATCTCTCTCCCTTCCTCTCTGTACAAAATCAATAAAATATATTAAAAAAAAAAAAAAAAAAAAAAAAAAAAAAAAAAGAACTTTCCAGGTTGCATATCCTGTCACGGGAGACCAAGAACATAGGAGCCAGTAGTATTATACAAATGAAATGGTCTCCCTCCATCTCCACTTGTCCCCTCTTTTTTTTTTTCTTTTCCCTCTCCCTTTTCCTTCCTTGCTCTCTTTCCTAGTCTCTCTCCATTTCTTTGATTGTTCTTTCCCTCCCACTCTGTAATGACCTCTAAATTGGCTCAGCATCGCTGTTCGAGATCTTAGTTATATAATATGGCTTATAAAAGCAAAATAACTCCGCTGCCTGCCATGCCAGGCTGGGCAAAAACCAGAGTGAAAAGAAAACACCTGGTGCTTGGCACCTCTCAGCTTCTTGGACTCTTTGCAAGGCGGATCAGCAGGACAGGGCTTACATGCTCCAAGTGCACCAAGGGTATCTAAGTCTCTCTGAAGACCAAATCACTCGGTTCTGGAGCTTTCCAATCTCTTCAAAGGCAAAGGGGGGGAGGGGGAACATGTCAGAGACAAGGGAGGGAGTGGGTACTGGTAAAGAGAGACTCAATTGGTTACATAATGTGAGGACTAGACAAGAATCTTCCATTCCTTCCACCTTCTGTCACTCCCTCTGAAATTCTCAGTCAGCACTCTCTTAAAAACTTGGCAATATCCCCATTCATTTTGTAGCCCCTGGAAATGTTTATTGGTTTTTCAATAGATGTGTAGACAAAAGGGCAGGGACATACAACTATGTTCATACTTCTAGAAGTGACTTATTTTAACATTGTCCCCAGGGTGATGTCCCGGGGTCCAGATCTTGATTATTCAGGCAGGCATGTTCATGTGCCCCCCTTAGGTTTCCTCCTGGTATTGCTGTGGCAAGAATATAGGAATCTTTGGGAGGCACATTGCCCATCAATCACACCTAGAAACAGGTCATTGGCCAGGATGGGCGTGGCCGCTGCAAGCGCTCAAAAATATAAATATGTAAACTTCCCAAAGTTCAGCCCTTCTTCTTTCTCTTGGCTGCAGGGCCCCAGGCCCTCTTGAGACTCCTGCTACAGGGGCAGTGCTCCCCTGTGCACACATGCACACCACCATGTTGGATTTCACACATGGATTAATGGACTTGAGTCTGGCCTGAATCCTGTCCGCAACAGGGAACAGAAACCATGGATGCTGGCTTTGTTACTGACTCTATTGAACACCCAATGCCCCTCTTTTAGCACTGGCTCAGGGGAAATGGGACATTATAATCATGCCAATAAAATCTTCTACCACCTCTCATCCTCCCGTGGGGGCTTCTGAAATGAAGCAGTGCCCCAAGTGCTCCTATTTCAGCAGTGCCCCAAGAACCCCACAAACACCGGAGGATTCCCACGTGTGTACCCTTCCAGCAGCAATAGAAGTAGAGACATGAAGAGGAAGAAAAGAATTTCCATTCACTTGACCTCTTCATCCATATGCTTGCATGAAAACACCAACAATGGTGCTTAGCTGGCCCCCATTTTATTTATTAAATTTGGAGTACCTTGAATGCCTTTCCAATTTAATGTCTATAGAGCAGTATAATGGTCACAAGGGAGCAGTTATTCTGAATTTTTATGGAAGTCAGTAAGTCTGCTGACTAGGCCCTATGGTGGAGGAGTTGAGCAAGCTGAGGCAAGTTACAATCTCACGACAATGCCAATAACTCCATCTGAGACCCATGGGAAAGAGGTCCCAGCCACTTAAAAAAGCAATTAGTCAAATGATAACAGGAAGTGCATGGACACTTCCTCTGTAACATGGGACTAGGTCTAGGATATCATCCACCCCCTTACATCAGAGGGGCTCTGAGAAATGAATTCTAGACAAATAGTTGACAGTGCCCAAGAACCTCCTGGCTATAAAGTTCTGGAAAGGGCAGAATTAGAAAGGGTTGGCAGTAGAGCCATGTTTTAACAGTAATCATAACTTCTATGCTTCGCCTTCTTGTTCCCAGTGACAGCTTCTCAACCCAATGAATTCGTTTTTGTGTACAGCTTCTGGAAGAGATGTTCCTAAGTTCCTTTCTCTTTTATAAAATACTATATCCTTGGCAAAACACTCATGTAGGATACCTGTGTCATGTACCTATTGCGTGTATGTGTGTGTGTGTGTGTGTGTGTATATATATATATATATATATATATATATGTTTATATTGTACATATGTGTTTGAGCATTTATCTGAATATTATAAAATCAAACATGACTTAAAAAATATATTGTTGCCAAAATTGGTTTGGCTCAGTGGATAGAGCGTCAGCCTACAGACTGAAAGGTCCCGGGTTCAATTCTGGTCAAGGGCATGTACCTTGGTTGCAGGCACATCCCCAGTAAGGGGTGTGCAAGAGGCAGCTGATCAATGATTCTCTCTCATCGATGTTTCTAACTCTCTATCCCTCTCTCTTTCTCTCTGTAAAAAAAAAATTAATAATATATATATATATATATATATATATATATATATATATATATAGTTGTTGATTTCAGAGAGCAAGGGAGAGAGAGATAGAAATGATGAGAGAGAATCATTGATCAGCTACCTCCTGCACTCCTCACACTGGGGATTGGAGCCTGCAACCTGGGCATGTGCCCTGACCAAGAATCGAACTGTGACCTGGTTCATAGATTGCTGCTCAACCACTGAGCCATGCCAGCTGGGCTCAAATACAACATTTTTAATATATTTTATTGATTTTTTTTTAATAGAGAGGAAGGGAGAGGGATGGAGAGTTAGAAACATCAATGAGAGAGAAACATTGATCAGCTGCCTCCTGCACACCCCCTACTGGGGATGTGCCCGCAACCAAGGTACATGCCCTTGACCGGAATCGAACCTGGGACCCTTCAGTCTGCAGGCTGATGCTATACCCAGAGCCAAATCGATCAGGGCTCAAATATGACATGTTAAAAATGAGTGTTGGTGATTGAACTAAAAGCTATAAAATGGCAGGGCCCTGATCAGCTCAAACCGTTTACAGTAGCAATTTACCTGAGGCCTCTGGAATGACATGAATTGCCACTTTATATTAGTGATAACTCATAAAGCAACACGAGGCTCGTGGCAGCATACCTTCAATCAGAATTAACCAAGTCAGCAGTGTCATGAAAAGCTCAGTAAAACAGAACTTTGCTTAGTGCCATGACTGGGGTTAACACACAGTCAAATCTCTAAAACCTCATGAGGGTTTGATACCACCCGATAGTGCTAGTTGCAGGCATAGAGCTCACAAATCTGATACTGAACACTAATTTACTAGGCAAGCACTACAGGCAATATGACAGGTCTGGGGATACAGTCCTGAGAAAGAAAAGCAGGATTCCTGCCTTCATGAAGTAGTCAGAAAGTTCTATTGAGTGATGAGCTTTCTTTGAGATAGCAAGTTACTTTGCAGACTCAAGAGCCGAGCAGTAGCAGAAATTATCTAAGAGCAGCCTTTGATGAAATTGGTGAAGCCCCAGAACCAAATGTTTGCTTAGGAGCTTCCACAGAACTCCTTGGAATCTTCTTTCAGCTCCTGGCAATCCTGTGAGCTTGTGCAAGCCACCCTTTAACTCTTCTCTGACTGGCAGGATGAAATGG